GATGTACATGGGGGGGGGGTTCTTAGCGCAGAACTCAGCAGGAAGGGCGGCGCGGTAGCGAGTGTCACTAGTGCGGAGGTGCGTAATGAGGTCAGCGACAGTGGGAAAGGCAGAGAGGTCAGGAAAGAGGTAGGGAAGCATGAGACGGCTCAGTGCAGCAGTGGCAGGGGAGGAGTAGCGCGCAACTACAGCGTCGTACAAGGTCTGAGCACTCTTGTACTGACTAAAGTGCGCACGCTCAGAGGTAGGGAGGTGGCGACGCACAGCAAGACGTGCAGCAGCATCGCGGGTGGCCCACTTAGAGCGGACAGCGGGATCAGCATCAGCAGCAGGGGCAGGAGAGGCGCCAGAGGTGAGGTCAAAGAGAGAAAGGTCGTCAGCCCTGTCGCACTGTAAGAACAGCTGCAGGTCGTCTAACCAGACCTCAAAATCAATGGCGCGACCCTCAGCGTCAAAAGCTAGGACACTAGGGGTAGCCATGGTGACGACAGCGACGCAGTGCAAGCAGTGGGGAAAGAGCTCGCAGTGTCAGTGGGACAGTGCTCACCAGGCAGGGCAGGTCGTGCAGTCAGCAGAAAGGCGGCTCAGCGACCGGGCGGCTCGGGTGCACAGCTGCTCGGCTCCCGGGCGGCTCGGCGGCTGGGCGGCTCGGGCGCAGGGCGGCTCGGCTCCCGGGCGGCTCGGCGGCTGGGCAGCTAGGGTGCAGGGCGGCTCGGCTCCCGGGCGGCTCGGCGGCTGGGCGGCTCGGGTGCAGGGCGGCTCGGCTCCCGGGCGGCTCGGCGGCAGGGCGGCTCGGGTCCCGGGCGGCTCGGCTGCTGGGGCGGCTCGGCCGGGAGATGCAGCGTCGGGCCGGCAGGTGCAGCGTCGGGCCGGCAGGTGCAGTGGCGGGCCGGCAGGTGCAAGTGGCGGGCCGTAAGAGGCGGCGGGCCGATGGGTGCAGCGGCGGGCCGGTAGGTGCAGCGGCGGGCCGGCAGGAGCAGCGGCGGGCCGGCAGGGTGCAGCGGCGGGCCGGGAGGAGCAGCGACGGGCCGGCAGGGTGCAGCGGCGGGCCGTAGAGTGCAGCGGCGGGGCCGTCGGCAGCAGAGGCGGGGCCGCGTCAGAGGAGGCGGCGTGGCCGCGTCAGGGGAGGCGGCGGGGCCGCGTCAATGGAGGCGGCGGGGCCGCGTCAGGGGAGGCGGCGGAGTCGCGTCAGGGGAGGCGGCGGGGCCTCGTCAGGGGAGGCGGCGGGGCCGCGTCAGGGGAGGCGGCGGGGCCGCGTCAAGGGAGGCGGCGGGGCCGCGTCAAGGGAGGCGGCAGGGCCGCGTCAGGGGAGGCGGCGGGGCCGCGTCAGGGGAGGCGGCGAGGCCGCGTCAAGGGAGGCGGCTGGGCCGCGTCAGGGGAGGCGGCAAAGCCGCGTCAGAGGAGGCGGCGGGGCCGCGAGTGAAGAGGCGACCCGAGGGGTCGCTTAAAAAAAAAGGGCGCGCCTCGGGGCGCGCGTCGGTGGGCCCAGACAAAGGTCCTAAGGTAGGACCCGCTCTATACCAAGTGAGAATAGGAAAACAGGAATGAATGAACTATGAATGAAAGCAGTACAAATATGAAACCCTAACTGGGTTGTACCCCCTATGGGATACCCCACTACAGCCTACACAGCAGTATAAGCTATAGATATGTTCTGACACTGTACAGCGGCAATTTCGACTGACACAGCCCGAGCTCGACGAGTTAAGGAAGCAGTTAGATTACCTGTTAGAGAAGCAGTTTATCCGACCGAGCTCGTCACCGTTCGCCGCACCGATACTGTTCACACCGAAAAAAGACGGAGGGTTCCGCATGTGCATCGACTACCGAGCGCTTAACAGGGTAACAGTCAAATCGCGATACCCCATCCCCCGCGCCGACGAACTGATCGACCAACTGCGAACAGCACGAGTCTTTTCGAAAATAGATTTACGGGGAGGTTACCATCAGATTCGGGTCGAACCATCGGACTGCGCCAAAACAGCATTTAGGACTAGGTACGGGTCATTCGAGTATACAGTAATGCCATTCGGGCTGACGAACGCGCCCGCGACATTTCAGATGACCATGAACGAGGCGTTTAGACCACTTTTAGATAAATGCGTGATAGTTTACCTGGACGATATTCTAGTTTACAGCCGGGATAAGCAGCAGCACTTAGTGGATCTTGAAGCAGTTTTTAAGGTTTTGGAGGAACATCGGCTACTCACCAAGGGCTCCAAGTGCGAGTTTTTTCGGGACAGGCTAGAGTTTTTGGGTCACGTCATTTCGGAGGCTGGGGTTGAGATTGACCCAAAGAAGCTGGATACGGTAAAAGCGTGGCGTCCCCAGACGAACATCACGGAACTGCAGAGTTTTTTAGGTTTTGTTAATTACGTTCGACGGTTCGTGCCCGACATGGCGCGTTTAACAGCCCCACTCACTGATTTACTGCGTAAGGGGGTCGCTTTTACGTGGGGAGAGAAAGAGCATGCTGCCTTCTCTGCCCTGAAAAACGTTCTCTGTTCACCACCCGTTCTACGCATCGCTGATCCCCACCGCCCTTTCGAAGTGGTTACCGACGCAAGTGACATCGCCATCGGAGCTGTACTGTTACAGGATTTCGGCGACGGCCTCCAACCCATCGCCTACGAATCACGCAAACTACATCCGCCTGAGCGAAATTACCCGATACACGACCGCGAAATGCTCGCGATCGTGCACGCATTCAAAGTGTGGCGCTGCTACTTGACCGGCGCAGACGTGACAGTACGGACAGACCATCGATCTCTACAGTACCTCCGTGCACAGCCCCACCTCAACCCACGACAGATTCGATGGCTCGATTTCCTCGAGTCGAATTTTCACTATACGGTCACATACAAAAAAGGAGCCTCGAATATCGCCGACGCACTGACCCGCCCCACTGCCCAGATCCACGCGATACTACTCGCCCAGACCAGCCCGCTACTGACAGGCCTATTTACCCACGGATATCAAACAGACCCGTTCTTTACAGGAGGCAACTCACAGCAATTCACAGCGGCAAAAGGAGTCTATTACGTAAAAGCTGGAACCGACCGCATCTGGGTACCAGGATACACGCTACTGCGGGAACTACTGTTACAGGAGGCACACGACGGAGTTACCTCGGGACATTTCGGGGTAGAAAAAACACGGCAGCAGCTGCAGCGGTACTACTACTGGCCAGAAATGTTGACCGATGTGCAACGACACGTGGCATCGTGCCCCACTTGCCAGCTCATGAAGTCAAGCAGGAAGCGGCCGGCGGGACAATTACAACCCATCCCGCCCCCAGAGCGTGCTTGGCAGCAGGTGACGATGGATTTCGTTACGGGGTTACCAGCTGGGGCGAGTGGGAATGACGCGATCCTGGTCGTCGTCGATCGACTAACGAAGATGGCTCATTTCGCAGCATGCAGGAAATCAATCACAGCCGAGGAAACCGCCCGACTCTTCATCACCACCGTCGTTCGACTGCACGGGATACCCGCATCGATCATCAGCGACAGAGACACGAAATTTACAAGCAACTTCTGGCGGAACCTGTTGCAGCAGTTCGGCACGCGCTTACAGTTCAGTTCATCCTATCACCCCGAAACCGACGGACAGACGGAACGGACAAATCAGACCATGGAGCAGCTGATTCGAGCCACGTGCGACGATCCGAATACGTGGGAACAGCAGCTGCCACTCATCGAGTTCGCATACAATAACGCACCATCAGCCACGACGCAACAGTCGTCGTTTTACTTGAATTACGGACAGGACCCAACAGTACCCATGACACCGAATCCCGACAACCCCGTCCCACGAGCACAACAGTTCGCCGAGATTCTGCAAGCAGCACGGACCAGGGCAGCAGAAGCAATCAAAAAATCAAACATCATCGCTAAACGCAACGCCGATCGCCATCGCAGACCCGTTACTTATCAGCCCGACGACCTCGTTTTACTCGACACTCAGAGCCTCCGCCTGCCCATCACTCCAAAACTCCGCCCTCGATACTGTGGGCCATTTCGAATCAGTCACATGGTTACGCCAGTCACCGCGCACCTCCTCCTCCCTGCTGACTGGTACGTCAGCCCCTCGTTCCACGTCAGCTTACTTCGCCCTTACGTGCCATCCACCAGCCAACTCCCACGACATCGACCCACCAGCATGACACGACCACCAACCGAACCAGTCATCACCCCCGACAAGATCCTGAGCCACAGAGTTCGCGACCCTCGAGGAGCCCGAAAAGTGGAGTTTCTGATCCGCTGGAAAGATCGTACCCCCACCGAGGACAATTGGGTTCCCCTGGAGAAAGTTGAAAATCACCCCGTCGTCACCGACTACCTGCGTAGCCGCAATTTCCGAGACATCCACGCGCTTTCATAAGGAGGACCTCCTTAGGAGGGGGGGGTAGTGTAAGGAAATTCCCTTTTCCTTACTTCGCGTCCCTGCTCAACGCGTACATCACTGTAGCACCTCAGTCAGCACCGTTACCACTCGAGACCATCGCATCATTCATCATCCCGCCCTTTTCGCACATCGCATCCCGACCTCACGGCTCGGCTGGTAACCCGCGCTCCGGACCTACGCTTCGACACTTTCCCAACCTCAGTCCCAGGCTCGTCGCGCGACCATTACCGTTACCACGGTAGTTTCGCTATATACCGTAATGTTCGCTCATGCCTTCGCTCATTTGTATTTTTGCTTCGATAGTGCAATTCTCGTTCGTTCACTCAATTGCACTCGTAACACGTACTCGACAGAGGCAACTTCTAATAGAGAACGAGAACTGCATAACTTACTGAACTGATGCTTCTTCAGCAACACTCCTAGTTCGCTCTTACTAGCGACTGTGCAAGACAAGAATCAATCGGTACATAATTTTCTGTACAGAATGGCGATTACCACTAACAACCTAGACAGCACCAACACCTGAATCCAATTCCTGACAGACATGTACATTTTTGTTGTTCTCTAGTGAGTCAGCCGGCAACAAAGAAGCCTCATGTAGGCGTGCCAGTGTACGAAGCAGGCGGCGAATTCACGCTCCCCGCCCCTTCAATATCAAACAGCGCATCGTGCCGCGCACCCGACCCACCGGGCACAGGCAGCGGGGCACTATGCCCCTCACCACTCCCACCAACCGAACCAAACCCACCAGCACCACCCTGCGAGAAGGGGTCAGGGTGCTCAAAGTCCTGGCAGCTCTCTACATAGATGAAGCCCTTGCCGACATAGAGTAGTAGAGCAGTGGAGATGAGGCACATGATGGTGAAGAAGAAAAACTCTTGTGTTTGAGAGAGGTGTGAGCCGACAGTCCCCACCACCACCGCCGTGAAGAGATTGCCTGGAGCGGGAGGAAAGAGATGAGAAGGAGGGATGCGGAACACGATGAGTGGGGCAGCAGAGTGGTGGAGAGCAGGCACATGACAGTGAATCCGGCACGCGGCAGTGAAGACAACACACTTCCTACCTACCACACACGCCCAATCAAACGCACACACCCTATCAAACGCACACGACCTATAAAACGCACACTCCCTAGTGGCCAAAGGCTCACCTCCAGCCACAGTGAGGCACCAAAAAGCAGTGACAACAGCAGTCATGCTGGCGGGTGCCTGAGAGTAAGCGAGTTCAAGGCCTGTGATGCTGAAGAGGATCTCCCCCGCTGTCATGATCACATACTGTGGCACCTGCCATGCCAGTGACACACATGGCGGGCTGCCCGGGTCCCCACACGCTTGCAGCACATGCCTGCTGCTGTTTCCAGCTGCCCCCGCTGCTGCTGCTGCTAGGCCTCCCATTGCTTCCACTGCTGCTGTTCCTGCTGTACCCACTGCTGCTGCTGTTGCCGCTCCCATTGCCACCAGGTCACCCCCCCATCCGTCCATCGTGGGACCAGCCACAATTGGACCAGCAATACCACTCATATTGCTCGTCATGCTGGCATTGCTACTCATACCACTCATGCCGCCAAAACTGCTAACACTTGCTGTCATGTTACCCCCAATCATGTCCAGTAGCACCCTACCAGCTCCATCCCCTGCGCCCACACTCCCCACCCCTGCAACAGCAGCGGTCACTGCCGAGCCTAGTAGCAGGCTCGGTGAGCCAGACTTGGCCCGAGCCTCAATCCAAATCTGGAGGAGGCCGGAGAGCGCGAAGCTGAGGGCGCCGAGGGTCATGCCGGTGGCCATGCGGCGGATGGGGCGGATGGACACGCCCAGGCGCTCGCACGAAGGATAAATCACCTGATCAAATAGCGGTATCATCACCAGAATGAGCGCTGCATTCATGGTCTGTGCGTGAGGGAAGGGGGAGAGGGGGGGCGGGGGGGGATGGGAGGAAAAAGGAGCAAAGGACGAATGAGTGAGCAGATGGGCGATCAAAGGCGAGAGTTGACCCGTACCATTCTTGCACACACGTCGCTCTAGAATCGTCCCAACCCTCCTGGCATTCATGCTCCCTTCTTTCACACGGATTGTCCCTTTCCACCGTTCATGCGCCAAGGTATTTGATTGCTGAGCCCTCATCTCACGCAATATGACAACGGAACCATTCATTCACCCACCTGTTCAACCACCCTGAAAATTAGCCAAACAGCCAAACGACCAAGCAGCCAATCGGCCATTCAATCAACCAATCCACCACTCCACCACTCAGCCACGGCCCGTCCACCCTCCCCACTGAAACCCCTCTGAACTGCAGCAATCCAGGCAGCTCAACCTGCCTTATCTGCCGCATCCCACTCACCTGCCCCATCCGCCTCGTCCTTTACCGACATCTGATCCATCCAGCCCACTTGCACACTCAAACACTAGTCCCTCTCACGAGTCACCACAACCCACCTGCATCTGGTCGGGCGCCACCCTGACCCACCCATTTCCCCCGCCTCAGCAACCAGCGCCTGGCCTGCTGGCCCAAAACCCCAATACCCATCACCCCACCCACCCCACCCATCCCAATCCCCCCCAAACCCCTCACCACCACCCACCTGCATCTGGTCGGGCTCCACCTTGCCACCCTAAATCCTGCCATTCCTTCTCTCCTAACCGCCCCCAACCCCTCACCACCACCCACCTGCATCTGGTCGGGCTCCACCTTGACTCCCTAGATCCTGCCATCCCTTCTCTCCGCCTGAAACTCCCAGCGAATAACCTTCTGCTCCATCCCCAACCATTCTCATTTAAACCCCTCCCTTCCCCCCGTTCCCCCCCCTTCCCCCCGTTCCCCCCCCTTTCCCTCCCTCCCGTCCCCCACCCACCTGCGTCTGGTCGGCTCCACTCTAACCCCCCAGATCCGCCCATCCATCCTTTCCGCCTGGAACACCCAGCGGCTGGCCTGCTGACTCCCCTTACCCCCCGCCAACCCAACCCCCCACCCCACGCCCAACCCCCCCTCCCCTCACCGCAACCCACCTGCATCTGATCCGGCTCCACCGTGATCCCCCAGAAATGCCCGTCCATGCGCTCCGCCTGGAAGACCCAGCGGCTGGCCTGCTGGTCGAAGAGCGACCAGAAGATGGGCACGGGGGCGAACAGCGCCAGCACGCGCAGCAGCAGCTTCACGTCCTCCACCGCCTCCTCCCCGTGCGCGCCCTTGGCGGGATCCAGCCAGTGCGCCTTGGGAACAAACCCCACCGGCACTATGGCCCGCTTGCTACCCCGCTTTGAAAGCTTCTTCTGCAGCGTCGGCTGGCTGCCTTTCCGCTGCTGACTCTGAGTCTGAGTCTGAAATGATTCGGACTGGCCGCCAAGCAGCGGGCTCCCCGATTGGAAGCTGCCTCCCCTGCCCGCGCCAAACGACGCGGGGCTGCTGGAGAGGAGCGGGGAGCTGTCCACGTCAGCGCAGCTGGCGTGGCGTTCCGGGATTGGCATGGGCATGGGCATGGCCAGGGTGGGGTAGGATTTCCGCCGCGCTTTCCCCGGCCATAAAGCGGAGATGATTATCGAGAGGACTTCCGACACCACGTTTCCCGCGGGCGGCTGGTGCACGTAACTCCCGCTGCCGAGCCAGAAGAGACACGTGGCAACCATCATCAGCACGGCCGGCAGCGCGAACGCGGCGCTATACGAGAAATTAACGCGCAACAGCGGCGTGACGATCGTCGAGATCCCCGACCCGACGTTGATCGCGAAGTAGAAATACGAGAAGAACTGCCGAACCAGGCGGTCCCGAGCCGCGCCGGGAGGGTTGGTCATCTCGATCTGATCGCCGCCGAACGACGACACGCACGGCTTGATGCCGCCGCTGCCCAGCGCGAGGCAGGTCAGCCCCGCGACGGCCCACGGGAGCGCGGCGGACGGCGTGGTGTGAAGCGCGGAGAAGGCGACGAGCCAGTTGCCGGCGCAGTAGATGAAGGAGAGGTACAGGATGGTCCGGTACTTGCCCTGCAGTGGGCGTGCGGGGACGGCATTAGCAGTAGGGCACGTGGGAGACACGTGGGATCTATTGAGATTTGACGAGTCGAAGAACTCGCCGTGGATAAAGGAGATCAACAATGAACAGACGACTGGTGCTCAGTAAAGGAGGATCCAGATGGTCCGGTACTTGCCCTGGGGCCGGCGCGCAGGAACGGAATCAACAATGAACAGATGACTGATGCTCAGTGATGAACGACAATTAACAATTCATCGATTTAAGAAACGTGAACGACGAACATGGTTCGACTCTTTGTTTCCTCGTCACTGGCCGAACCAGGTACTACTTGGATCCGTTCAAAATCATCGTCTATACCTGTTGGATCTTTTCCAGGCGGCTGTCGCCCGGAAACGCAACATCTTATCGAGAAACAGGTGTGCATGGCGGATCCTTACCAGGTAGCTATCGCTGATGAACGCGCCAAACAGGGGAGCGAGGTACGCGGCGACGATGAAGAGATGCACCATCTCCGTCGCCGTCGCCTGCGACAGCTTTAATCTCTCGTTCAGGTACATCGCCAGGATCGCTCGCATGCCGTAGAACGAGAATCTCTCGCAGAACTCGTTGCCGATAATGAACTTGACCGTTGGCGGCACTACCGCTTCCTGCTCTGTAGGCGCTTCGCCATTCCTCGCATCACTGGTATCACCACTGGGTATACTTATGGAGGCTGAGCTATTCTTTCTCTCGTCGACTTCTGACGGGGTGCCTGGCGGCATGTTGACCGGCAACTAGCGCTGATCACAGCTGGCGGCCGGTCTGATCGACGGCTAGTCTAACTGCCACCAAGAACACAGCTCGATCTACGTGCGACCCTGAAATGAAGATTGGAAAAAAGAAAACTGAAGCTCCAACGCAATATACGAACACTTCTGATGACAATGAACTACTCCAAAGAAGAAAAAAGCTAGCAACAGGAATCAGTCCATGGCTAAAACTCAAGGGAGACAAACAGCCGAGAAATATGAGAACGGGTGGTTGGGTGGTTGTGCGAAATGTGAGGGGCGCCATGTCGAAGCAATCAGGCCTTGAAGTGCAAAGCGTTTTTATTACGGTTTATTTTATTTCTGCAACGGTATTGAGCGTTACCAGGGATTTTAAGGCCATATCGAAATCGTGTGTTCGCGTTCAGTTGCTGTTCGCTGCTGCTGCACGCTGGAGGGGAGAAGACGCTCGGATGACGCTAATTGGAGGTTACAAAAGAGGTTCGGCAAGTGATCAGGCACGGTAATTGGTCTGCGCAGACCTTGTGGCAAAAAGGGAGGCGTAGTTGACGTCATGCCTGGTCAGTGTCTGCGGTTGCAGAATCAGCCTGGGACCACGAACCTCAAATATGGCTGGCGGACCGAGCCTCGAGTTGAGGTGACAAACCAGGGGGACTTGTGTGGTTGAATCTCCTTTAACAAGTTCATTGATAAGAACAGGCTTACCAGATGCACCTTTGTCACATAGTAAGATATGTTGAAGTGGCATGACATTTCCACTAACCCGTTTGTCGTCGAACAAACTTAGGCGTGTCAATATGGTCCGGCATGGACCGAGAAATCGTGATCAAAACAAGCTGAAGCACTGCCTGAGTAAAGAAAAACAAGTGATGGTCCAACGGAAAGAATGGTATACCACTGATGCTCCATGCGAACACGGTGGCACCAGCAGCAGGAGCCATTGCCCTGAAAAAGAGACTGATGGATTGAGTGATCCCTGTGACGGCACCAATCAAAGCTGGATCGGAGATGCTGTTGTTGATGAAGATAAAACCTGATGTGAACACACACTGTGCAAAACTGGTGGAGATGCACCAGATGTCACATAAGTGCACCTCACCACATGCACCACACACATTACAAGCACCACACAAATCACATGCACCACACACATCACGTGCACCACACAAATCACATGCACCACACACATCACATGCACCACACACATCACGTCCACCACACACATCACGTGCACCACACACATCACGTCCACCACACACAAAACATGCACCACACACATCACATGCACCACACACATCACATGCACCACACACATCACACCTTCCACAAACGTCACACACATTGCACACATCACACAAATCACACAGGTATCGTTCATCGCACACAGCACTTGAGAGGGAAGCATGGCTGGTTGAAGCTTGAAACTCTAGTGTGCATGCATGCATGCCCGTGGACTGAGCGCTTCGAACACAACCTCCTGAGGCCTCTCCATTAAGCAACAGACCACATCCATTGCCATGCCCATGCTTTCACCAGCCACTCGAACGAAACCCCAGCCACTCTGAGGACTCTCAAAACCAACTCAACTCAAATGACGTGTCTATGATGCCATTCACATTGTGAGCGCGTACCTTCGCAGCGCGAGCGAGAGGCAAGCAGCGACCACAGTGGCACCACTGCCCTGGCCGAATATGCGGATGAAGGGAAGCCATGTGACTAAAACGAAGCCAACTGACAGTGCCACCTGATTGGGCAAAACAGCACAGCATGTGGCAGTAAGGTACATAAGAAGAAAGGAGGGAATTATCTTTTTGTTAGGGTAAAAACAAAGGGTAGCTCTTCAAAAATCTTACAGAGGTCAAATTAATCTGAGCTACAGTAGCAATTACCTGAGCCACAGGAGAACCCACCTGAACGGCTCCCCGAGCTCCCACTCTGTTGACAAGAGGAGCGTACACATATTGCTGGAAAAACACCTGAGAGGATGCAAACAGCGTGAAGGGATGAGCAGAAAGGACCTCTTCAGTATGTCAGAAACTCGTTTCATCACAGGTGGAAAGTAAGCAAGCAGGGGATGAGCTGAGAGGGAGGGTGAGAGGGGGTTAGAGAAAAAGGGAAGTGATCTAAGGAGATTGAGAAAGCTCTAAGAAACAGGAGATTGAGAAAGCTCTAAGAAACAGGAGATTGAGAAAGCTCTAAGAAACAGGAGATTGAGAAAGCTCTAAGAAACAGGAGATTGAGAAAGCTCTAAGAAACAGGAGATTGAGAAAGCTCTAAGAAACAGGAGATTGAGAAAGCTCTAAGAAACAGGAGCTCAGTTAGCAGCTCATCTTTCAGTTAGCATGGCTGGCTGCAGTGTATAGAGACGCTTGCCATCAGGAGCATGTTTATTCTGGAAACAACCCCCTGGTTCATGCTATTGTGTTCATTCAAGGTCATCCTTTTCAAAGTGTAGCAGCTTGAACACCCACAGAGCATATTCCCGCGCAGGTTTGGGCCATTGCAACTTGGTTCGTGCCGAAGCTGAGCCCTCCGAACCTCCAATCAGTGAGGCTCCAGAGAGGAAAGACCTGGGGAGCGAGATAGGGAGTGGAATGTGGAAGACGAAAAATACCAATCTTTTACAACGTCCAGAATGTTTACATGAGAAAAGGGACAGGTGAGATGATTTGAATATTGAGGTAGTCCCGACTTGCATGTTTAGCAATGGAATGGTGCTTGAATGCTCAAGCCTATAAGCACTCCTCACCGAATGCTCAACCAACCTTACAAAAACAATATTGATTCCTTCCGCCCTCTCACAACGTTCTCTTGTGACTTCACCGTTCCCCACCATGCTCCACCATACCCGACCATGCCGCAGCATATTCCCATTAGGCAAGCACATGAAATGCACTTTGTTTGAACGCTCACACTGACCTCGACAGAATCACATGCTGTATAGTCACATTGTTTGCACCAGCTCTTTGCATTTCACTAGTATCACATATTGGCACCTGACTCCGCTACTGCCACATACTGACAACTGCTCTGATAGCAAGGCACCCTACTGCCACATGCTGCTAACCAGCTCACCTCGTTGAATGAGGTTGTAGCGAAACTGAGCAGGGAGAGGAAGAGGAATGCCTTCACTGGGGGGGATGATGGTGATGATGATGATGATGATGATGATGATGATGATGATGATGATGATGATGATGATGATGATGATGATGATGATGATGATGATGATGATGATGATGATGATGATGATGATGATGATGATGATGATGATGATGATGATGATGATGATGATGATGATGATGGTGGAGTGATGTGGGGTGATGTGGAGAGAAGGTGATGAATGCAGGGTAGAGCAATGGAGAGAGTACGGTTGGTGCTTGAGGCAACTGTAGAGATGCAGGGCAGAGAGAGGGGCAAGAGGACAGCATTCACTGGGGGGGATGATGATGATAGTGGTGATGGTGATGATGATGGTGATAGTGGTGATGGTGATGGTGATGATGATCACAGGGGATTGCACAATGGAAAGACAAAGGTGGTGCTTGTTAGAGGGGTGGAGAGAGGTACCAGTGGCAGAGTCAAAGAGGGCGCGTGCGAGCTGCTGGCCACAGAGAGGCGCGAAGAGGTTGACCGGGGAGAGAGGGGGGGATGGGAGGCAGCAGCAGCAGCAGAGACACTGCAGCTTGGGCAGGCAGTGGCAGCAAAGGAAGGAAGAGGAACGGGAGGAGGAGAAACGGGAGGAGGAGGAAAAACGGGAGGAGGGGGAGAAACGGGAGGAGGGGGAGAAACGGGAGGAGGGGGAGCAGAAGCCATTAGCAGAGGCAATGTCGTCAGTATCAACTCCGGTTTCCCGCAGCTCCCCTCCTCTCCCTCTTGATTCAAGTAGTGGCTCCCTCAAATGATCCCCATCCAGGTGTTTCCCACCCAGGTGATCCTTCAGGTGATCCTTCAGGTTCCCTCTGTTGTCAGCTACCATGCATGCCCGCTCCTCATCATACTCGCCCCACCCTCCTCCTCTTTCTCTCCCTCCTCCTCTTTCTCTCCCTCCTCCTCCTTCTCTTCCCCCTGTGGCCTCTGGCCGTTCACCCTCTCCTATGCTCTTACCCCACATCCTGTCACTCCCGCTTGACTGCCCTGCTCCTGCCTCATCTCCCTCTCTTCCTCCTCTCACTACTCCACACCCTTCCCCTTCCTTCCCTCCTTCCTCCCATCCAAACTTCCTCACTTCCTCCTCCTCCCCTTCCTCCTCCACCTCCTCCTCATCCTCCTCTGCCCCTTCTCCTAGCTCCTCTGCGATGGATTGCAACAGTGGCTGACTCAGGCTTGACCTCCTACTTCCATTCCCCACGTTGCTGCTGCTGCTGCTGCTGCTGCTGCTGCCAATACTGCTTCCACTGCCCAAGCTGCCACTGCCGCTGCCGCTGCTGCTGCCACTCCTGCTGCTGCCACCACCACTGCTGCCGCTGCCACCCCTGCAACTGCGACAGTCCTCACCAAGAGATTGATCACATCGGATTTCACGGTCTATGTCAACCACGGGGTGTGATATCCCCTTGCTCTCTGGCAGCAGCGCAGCAGCAGCAATGGCAGCGCCACTACCACCGCTGCTACCACCAGCGCCACAGACAGGAGTCGCAGGACCATCAGCATCAGCAGATCGAATCTCACGGTCTATGTCGACCACCCGGTGAGCCCACCCCTTGGTTTCTGGCAGTAGTGCAGCGGTGGCAAGGAGGCCGAGGAGGGAGAGCAGGGCGAGCAGCAGGCAGGGCAGGAGGAAGGGCAGGCGGGCAAAGAGAGAGTGCGGGGGGAAGAGCCAGGGGTACTTGACTGCTGGCTCGCACAGAAACCCTCCCAGTGCTGGACCTGTGGGGAGCGGGTGAGGCGAAAAGGAGTGAGAAGAGAAGGATGCACGGGAAAGAGTGGGTGCATGCACCAGAAAGCCGTCACTGAGCAGCCCAGAAACAGCAGGGGGAAGAGCCAGGGGTACTTGAGTGCTGGCTCGCACAGAAACCCGCCCAGTGCTGGACCTGTGGGGAGCGGGTGAGGCAAGAAGGGGTGCGGGGAGTAGGATGCACGTGGGATCATGCACGGAAATGTGGGATCATGCACGGAAATGTGGGATCATGCACGGAAATGTGGGATCATGCACGGAAATGTGGGATCATGCACGGAAATGTGGGATCATGCACGGAAATGTGGGATCATGCACGGAAATGTGGGATCATGCACGGAAATGTGGGATCATGCACGGTGTTGTGGAAGCAAGAATGTCCCAGTGGGTACCTTTGGTCTTAGTGGTCGCGGGTTCAACTCTCATCGACAGCACCTTCTCTTCTCATTATGCCGAACATGACACTCCCACACTCCACCACACTCACCCACAGTGAAGTGTGGTCACAGTTGGCATTGCCATCTGTCCACCCATCCCATACTCACCTTGTTGGCTCCTATGGTGTGCCACATGCTGCCATGTAGGCTGTTGTTCCAGCCTGGCCCACATGTGCAACATGTGGCCTCAATTGCTAGCTTGGCAAGGTTGGCTAGCCCTGCCCTCAGCTTTGAGGTGCTGCAGCTAGCCTCAAGAGTTCAGCCACATAAATGTGGCTTCCCACTTCTCTAGAACTCATCCTTGGAAAGGACATTGCTCTAGCCTTTCAGGCTTGTACCATCTTCCTACTAAGGATATATTGTTCTTCTCTCATTGTGCCTCAAGTTCACCGATCCTCATTCTACACACGGAAATGTGGGATCATGCACGGAAATGTGGGATCATGCACGGAAATGTGGGATCATGCACGGAAATGTGGGATCATGCACGGAAATGTGGGATCATGCACGGAAATGTGGGATCATGCACGGAAATGTGGGATCATGCACGGAAATGTGGGATCATGCACGGAAATGTGGGATCATGCACGGAAATGTGGGATCATGCACGGAAATGTGGGATCATGCACGGAAATGTGGGATCATGCACGGAAATGTGGGATCATGCACGGAAATGTGGGATCATGCACGGAAATGTGGGATCATGCACGGAAATGTGGGATCATGCACGGAAATGTGGGATCATGCACGGAAATGTGGGATCATGCACGAGATTACGCGAGGTGGAGTCACAGCGGCTCACGAACATCCAGTGCACGTGTGCGAGAGCAGCACGTGTGCATGAGCAGCACACGTACGTGCGGGTGTGTGGGATGGGAGAGAGACAAGGGGGAAACTCACCAATGAGCAGCCCGAGACCGAAATTGGTTCCCAGCAGGGCGAAGCTGAAGGAGGGGATGCAAAATTCAGGCATAGGATGCAAACGGAGTGGGAGCGAACTTGGGATGAACGTGGGCGGGGTCAGAACTCGGAAAGGGTGAGAAAATTGGGAGATGTGAGAAATCGGGAGGTTAGGAAATAGGAGGTTTGAGGAAATGGGAGGGGGGTGGAATTGGAATGAAGGAGTCTGAAAAGAGATGGTTTTAAGCTGCAAGATGAAGCGAGAGGCATGAAATATGGCAAGCAATGAATGGGGTGTTGAGGCGGCTGAGCGAAGAACAGAACGGCTCTCTAAGAAAACGCTCTAGCTCGCAGTGAACCAGGCTCCTTCCATCATTTCACCCAATCCATGGGGTTTGTCTCGTCGTTCTAAGAACCACACGAGTTGATGGAAGTAAGGCATCCGCAGCCCACCTGTCCGCTACTGACAAGCAACGAATGGGGTGTTGAGGTGGCTGAGCGAAGAGCAAACGGCAGAGCAATCGGTTGGTTCACAGAGCACAATGGTGATCTAATGGGATGGTTGATTGCCGCCTGACGCAGCAAAAGAATGGGGCATGGAAGGCAGGTTGAAGGGGCGGGATGTGTCTTACCCTTGTGCCTGATTGGTGGAGTCACAGAGTTCGGCCACTGTGCTGCATGTAGGGACGGGGAGAGGGATGAGAGGATGGGGAGAGGGATGAGAGGATGGGGAGATGCATGAGAGGATGGGGAGAGGGATGAGAGGATGGGGAGAGGGATGAGAGGATTGAGAAGAGGCATGAGAGAATTGGGACAGGGGCATGCATTGGAAACCAGCGACTCACGTCCTGCCGGTAGCAGCGATGGTGGAGAGGAGGCCGTGCAGCAGGCGGCAGAGCATGGCGGCATGGAAGGACGTGCAGAGGCCGAACGCACCCCCGCACACCATGTTGGCCGCCAGGCCTATCAGCAACACTGGCTTGCGCCCCCAGTGGTCTGATAGGATGCTGTTGAAGGGGAGGGAAGGAGAGGGAGAGGGAGAACGAGAGTGGGTAGGATATGGGGGTTCTAGAAGCTGAGGTGCATTGCTTCTTATATCCTTGTGCATGTCTGTACCTTGCTCGGATCTAATACACGGACCGCTTGCGAGGGAGGGGGGCAAGCAGCACAGGCGCATGGGGCGCACATGAGAATGCTCCTCCGCACATCATGTTGGCCGCCAGGCCTATCAGCAACACTGGCTTGCGGCCCCAGTGATCTGATAGGATGCTGTAGCGGGAGGAGAGGGGAGAGGGACGGTAGAGAGAGGGAGATACGAAAGCAAGAAACACATGCACATGTACAGGTACAGAGAGAGACAAAGAGACAGCCAGTGGGGCGCGGAGAGGTGGCTGTGTGACTGTGTCTCCCGCCCTGAAAGCAAGACAGGAAGGGACGCCTACAACAAGAACCGTGGGAGCTTGATTAATCGAAACAAGTGGAGGCAGCAGCCGTTTGAGTCGACTCAAAAGTCAGCCGTTGCAATGATGTGTGATGTAAGGGTGCCGTTGAATGTCTGATAATGACTGTGGGTTTGCAGAAAATGGGAACCCAGAAACAGACAAAATCACTTTAAGGTGGTTCGGAAAACCTCCCATGCCCCCCTCGCAACCCCCCTCACCCACCCACCCACCCCCAGAAGCTGCTGCTGATGAGTGAGCCGACGAAGTAAGAGGAGCCGAGATAGCCCGCATAGTAGCTGACGGACGGGTTAAGACGGCCGGAACGATACGAACGGGACGAGACGAAAGGCAAACGGGAAGAGGGAGGTGGTGTGGTGGGGGGGGGGGGGGGGGGAGAGGGTAGAAGGAGGGACAGCACATGCAAGAACGGATTGGAAAAAAAAAAGGTCCCCAGTACAGCAAGAAACGAGCTAGAAGTAGAAATTTAATATGTTGACGTGATGTAAACACACACACGTGTGTGGACTGAGGCAAACACACGTCACATCACAGTTGAGCGAGATAAATGGTCAAGGAGCACCACGAGCTACGGAATCAATACATTGCTAGTTCACGCGATGAATCGATCTGTAGCGTCTCGTGGTTGCTCGTTCAGTGCAAGGACGCGACGAAGACGCGTTACGCTGATGTGTGTTAATGTGCAGCTAATTCATGCGCGCTGCGACCACATCTAGCCGGTTCGCATTCAATCGCTGAGACCGGCTGGATGATCATCCAACTGCTGAGACCCCAAGCCATCGAAAGCTTATCCCAGCTTCGTGGAATCGTCTGTGGCGAAAGCTGGCGACCAAAAGAGACAGCAAAGGGACGCGGATGGTAGGAGGGGCATGTCTCTTGCTGACGCTGGTCGGCGTCGCGACGGCCGACGGTCGTTTGTAACTAACCCGAGCTTAGTGGGGTCGTCGGTGACGTGGAAGCTGGCGACCATGAGCGGCAGGAAGGGGAAGAGGATGGTGGGCGCGAGCGCGTTGGTGAAGTACATGACGCAGATCGCCACCACCGGGCCCCGAGGCAGCGGATTAGGCTTGGGAGGCTGGCTCGGAGCCATGGCTGGGATCCGCGTGCGGGGAACGCCAGGAACGACGATGGTGAGGAATTCGGATCTACCGAGATGGTGAAGATATTCGGTAGCCGCACGCCGATTGCTTCTCAGAAATGCATTGTAGCGCCCATCATGTGGGACGGTAGCTTGCGTGAAAGGGACGCCGTCAATTGAATGAGAATTATCAGCCGTGCAGTGCATTGAGGTCGGACGGTTGGTGCGGAGGTGAATTTCAAGTTCCTCTTGGCTCCAATACCCTACGTCACCGCTCTAACTTATCAAAGAGCCGCTCTGACTATCTACGCATCTCACCCCACCGCATTCAAGAGAGCTCTCAAGGCTAACCATGTATTTCCACAGCGGAACATGGTAGGCTGATACATACCTGTTCAAGAGAAAGAATTGAACTTACAGGAATGATGGCAAGTTAGTTTAGCAGATAATAAGAAAAACCAGGATATAAAAACCAGCGTTGAAATAAGGAAGTTTATGGGAATAAAGCAAGGTGTAACCTGGAAAGGTGTTACGGGTGTAATGAATCGAAGTAGCGAGGATTGCACTAAGGTGTCAAACGAGTACAAAATGTGAGCGAACGCATGAGCGAACATTTATACGCGAAACATGCAAACGGTAACGCGGTGCGTGCGAGCTAGCTAGTGCTATGCTGGAAGCAAGGCTCGGGCTATTCCCGAAGCGTAGGCCGACACGGCCAGGCCAGCAGTGCGAGGTTTGGTGAAACAGTGCGCGCGAAGTCGGCGAAGCCCCGTTAGCAGTAACGGGCGAACAACGGCTGCTGCTGTACGCGATGTTGCAGGGTGCGCTAGGGAATATCGAGAAAATTCCTTACAATAACCCCCCCCCTCAAGAAGCCCCCTCCGCTACGCGAGTGCGTGCATATCGCGGAAGCCCCGGCTCCTCAGGTACACTTGCAGGGCATGGTGGTTTTCTATGTTGGCCAGGGGCACCCAACTATCTTCATTTGGCGTGCGGTCCTTCCAGCGAACGAGAAATTCAATCCTCCTGATTCCCGTGGGGTGGTGAATCCGATGGCTCGGGATTTTTTCGGGCTCGATGATCGGCTCCGATGCAGGGCGAGTCATGGAATGCGGGCGATGACGAGGCAGTTGGCTGGTGGTTGGGATGTATGGGCGAAGTAGGCTGACGTGGAACGATGGGCTGATATACCAGTCGGTCGGTAACAGTAGGTGCGCGGTTACTGGCGTGATCATGTGACTGATTTGGAATGGGCCATAGTAGCGCGGTCGAAGTTTCGATACGTCGGGCAGTCGCAGATTTTGTGTGTCGAGCAGTACGTAATCCCCTGACTGGTATGTGACTGGGCGGCGGTGGCGGTCAGCGTTGTCAGAATGTTATCTTATGCTCTAGCCTGTAGTGGGGTGCTCTATAGCGAGTACAACCCTTCTAGGGTTTGCTATTTGTATCCCCATTCTTGCTAGTGCAATCTTCTTCTTTCTTCTAAACTTTTACATGCTATCAGAGCAGGTCGATCCCCTTGGATCGATCCTGTGGGTGGGCTCACCACCTCGTTGCTTCCGCTGCAACTCCTACTGCTACTCCTATCACTACTCTCTGTGTCGCACGCCCCGTGGCGTGCGGCATTTTTTCATCCCGCCGTGCGCCCCGAGGCGCGCGGCGGTTTTCTGCCCGCCGTGCGCCCCGAGGCGCGCGGCGGTTTTCTGCCCGCCGTGCGCCCCGAGGCGCGCGGCGGTTCTCTTCCCGCCGTGCGCCCCGAGGCGCGCGGCGGGTTACTGCCCCGTCACGCCGCGCGCCGCTCCCGGGAGGCGCTGCGACGGGCGACGGGGACCTCCGCGTCGCCCCCCGTCGCCCGTCGTGGCCTGCGCGCGGCACGTACGGGCCGCGCCAGACCCGTCCGCGGCCCGTACGGGCCGCGCCAGGCCTACGCGCGACCCGTATGGGCGGCGCCAGGCCCGCGCGCGGCTCGGGCCGCCTGCGCGCAGCTCGGGCGACCCTACCTGCGGCCCTGGCCCTGGCCCCGCCGCCCTACCTGCGGCCCCGTCGTCCCGACGCCCTACCTGCGCCCCGGCCCCATCGCCCTACCTGCGCCCCGGCCCCATCGCCCTACCTGCGCCCCGGCCCCGGCCCCGCCTGCGGCCCCTTTTCCCGTCGCCCGTCGCGGCTCCCTTGGGGGCCTGGGGGAGGGGGGCGAGCGCCGCCCCTTCTGCTACCTGTCTTGGCGCCCTGGGAGGCCGCGCGTCGGTTCCCCCCCCCCCTCCCCCGTAACCTCCCTACCCGCCATCCCGCCCTGCCTGTGTTAGGGTTTGGGGAGTGGCGAGTAGGGGGTGGCGAGTATGGGGGTGGCACTTCTGCATTCCTCCCTTTGCTCCTCCTCCTCCTTTGTCTCCCACTGCTGCAGCTGTCGCTGAGGGGGGTGGATGTGTGGGAGACTGGGGTTTAGGGAGCTAGCGGTGTAGCAGCGGGTGTGTGCCAGGGGGAGTGGGATAGTTTGGGGAAGCTGTATGGAGGTTGCCGTCGTGTCGCCAGCAGCACCTGTATTCCGGGGACTTCGTCCGGTAGCCCAGTCGTAGCCAGCTGTGCCAGCCGCCCGTGAGTCCGTTGCTCGTCTGCCGCTACTTTAGCCGCGGGGCCTGTTACTCCTGTATTCCGGGGACTTCGTCCGGTAGCCGCTGTGCCAGTCTGCCTCCTGTTGCCCATGTTGTCAGAACATTATAGCTTACTTATTTGTGTAGGCTATAGTGGGGTATCCCATAGGGGGTACAACCCAATTAGGGTTTCATATTTGTACTCACTTCATTCATAGTTGATTCATTCTCGTTCAGTTTTCACATGGTATAGAGCAGGTTCCCCTGTGGGAACTGTGCCTAGGGCCCACCACTCGAAATCTTTTTTTTCTGCCCGAAGCGCACTCATCCCGAGTCGCGCCTCGGGCCACTCCTTCCCCGAGCCGCCCTAGCGGCCGGCCTTACCCTCGCGGCCCCGCCACCCAGTGACCGCGGCCCCGCCGCCCAAGCGCTCGCGGCCCCCGCCGTCCCTGATCTCGCGGCCCTGCCGCCCGAGCGCTCCCGGCCCCGCCGCCCCTGATACGCGGCCCCGCCGCCCAAGCCCTCGCGGTCCCCGCCGTCCCTGATCTCGCGGCCCCGCCGCCCCAACGCTCCTGGCCCCGCCGCCCCTGATACGCGGCCCCGCCGCCCCAGCGCCCGCGGCCCCGCCGTCCCTGATTTCACGGCCCCGCCGCCTCAGCGCTCACGGCCCCGACGCCCCTGATGTCGCGGCCCCGCCGCCCCAGCGCTCCCGGCCCCGCCGCCCCTGATACGCGGCCCCGCCGCCCCAGCGCCCGTGGCCCCGCCGTCCCTGATCTCACGGCCCCGCCGCCCCCAGCGCTCACGGCCCCGCCGCCCCTGATCTCGCGGCCCCGCCGCCCCAGCGCTCCCGGCCCCGCCGCCCCTGTTACGCGGCCCCGCCGCCCCTGGTCTCGCGGCCCCGCCGCCCCAGCACTCACGGCCCCGCCGCCCCTTGCTCTCGCGCCGCCCGACTGCAGCAGCCGAGCCGCCCACCTGCAGCAGCCGAGCCGCCCGGAGCAGCCGAGCCGCCCAGGAGCCGCCGAGCCGCCCAGCAGCAGCCGAGCCGCCCGGAGCCGCCGAGCCGCCCAGCAGCAGCCGCGCCGCCAGCAGCCGCCGAGCCGCCCAGCAGCCGCCGAGCCGCCCAGCAGCAGCCGAGCCGCCCAGCAGCAGCCGAGCCGCCCGGGAGCCGAGCCGCCCAGCAGCCTAGCGGCCGTTTCGCCAGGCGACCTTCCTCCCGAGCCGCCCGACCTGCCCTGCCCGGTGAGCACTGCACTGCTGTCACTGCAAACCCTTCCCCTACTGCTTGCACTGCTCCACTGTCGTCGTCATGGCTACACCCAGTGTCCTCGCTTTTGACGCTGAGGGTCGAGCCATTGACTTTGAGGTCTGGCTCGACGACCTGCAGCTGTTTTTACAGTGCGACAGGGCCGACGGTCTGTCTCTCTTTGACCTCACCTCTGGCGCCGTCCCTGCCCCTGCTGCTGATGCTGACGCCACTGTTCGCTCTCAGTGGGCCACGCGCGATGCTGCTGCCCGTCTTGCTGTGCGTCGCCACCTGCCTACCGCTGAGCGCGCGCACTTTAGCCAGTACAAGAGTGCTCAGACCTTGTACGACGCTGTAGTTGCGCGCTACTCCTCCCCTGCCACTGCTGCACTGAGCCGCCTCATGCTCCCCTTCCTCTTCCCTGACCTTGCCGCCTTTCCCACTGTCGCTGATCTCATCACGCACCTCCGCACTAGTGACACTCGCTACCGCGCTGCGCTTCCTGCTGACTTCTGCGCCAAGAATCCCCCCCCCATGTACATCACTCTCTACTTCTTAGTCACTCGCCTCCCTGACTCCCTTCGTGTAGTCCGGGACCACTTCCTCGCGGTCTGTCCCACCACCCTCACAGTCGACAGCCTCGAGAAGGCCCTCCTTGCAGCAGAGAAGAGCATAGTTGCTGTAGGAGCCTCTCGAGGTGACCCCCGCGCCCCCATCTTTGAGGGGTGTTCTCCTTCCCCTCTCCTGCCCTCTGTCGCCTCTGCCGCTGCGGCCGACCTCGATGGTCTTGAGTCGGTCGGTGCGGCGTCTGCCCCTAGCGGGAGACGCCGCTCTGGCAAGGGCAAGGGGGGCAAGGGAGCGGGTGGGGCCAGTGGGGGCGGTGGCGGTGGAGGTGGAGGCGGCGGAGGGAGTGGGGGTGGCGGTGGAGGTGGTAGCGGGGGTGGGGGTGCTGGTGGCAGCAGTGGAGGCGGGAGTGGCGGCGGCGGTGGCGGTGGTAGCGGAGGTGGCGGAGGTGGCGGCGGTGGAGGTGGAGGCGGGGGCGATGGAGGCGGAGGCGGGGGTGGCGGAGGTGGAGGTGGTCAGAGTGGAGCTTCGCAGCGGAGCGGCACTGGTGGCGGTCAGCGCCAGCAGCAGCAGCAGCAGCAGCAGCAGCAGCGTTCTCGCGACGTCCCCACCCCTCA